AGAGTGGAGGCACCCTAGTAATTACGAAGGGGATACTTACAGATTTAGATTGGTCTGCTAGAGGCTAAACTTCTTCCATGAATGTCATGGCAGCTGCTCTGGAAGGGCGAAGTGTGATTCTCGGGAGTTGCTGATGAGCAGCCTTCACAAGGGGTGGAAATGAGGTTTTTGAGAAAAAAATAAAACTAGCTCTGTTGCATTACACTTTTCAGTGTTCTGAAAGATGTCCTGGCAGAATGGTGGTGGGCATTGACTTTGGAATGGAGACAAACAGAAAAGGATGCAGGGGGCAGTAACCCAAGAAACCTTACGAGGTGGTTGTATTTAGCTTCCAGCCAGTAGGTCTGTGAGGATAATGTGAAGCCACTCTTATACCTTTATTCAGTGGCACTACTGATCTGAAGGTCTGCATTCATATGCCTGGTGCTGATTTCTTATGTCTTGCTTTCACAGCAGCTGTCCTTTGAGTTGCATATGGAAATAATTTCATTCATGTCAGTCTAATAGAAATATACTTGATCTTAGAGTAATGATGATCAGCAGTTGATGGAGTTGCCGCATAAGATACACTTCTGCTGAACTGTAGCAGCATTCAGGGCTGCCCTTGGCGTGTAATCTTGTCAGGACTTTCTCTGAGAGCAAAATGGCTTTATTTCTTTGCAGTGCAGTTGTCAGCTGCTGCACCCTGAGCTGTATGCATAGATCTGTTCGGTGCTGTGCTGTTCACTGCAGCACCAAATTTGCCAAGTTTCTGCAATGAATCAGGACTAGAAACTTGGAGGTGATGGTGATGTTTGCAGCATTGTTCATATTGCTACATTCAAATTACATGCTGTAAGCCGTAAGCATGTCGTGTTCCAACATCTCTGTGCTTCATGGAGCTACAGCAGGCTTTATCCATGCTTCAGCTGATGAGCAGTGTTTCACAGATGCTCTCGTTATGACTGGGACTGCAGAGATTGTTCCAATCTGCTGAATTCTGTCCTTGGCACACCAGGAAGAGCTGTATTGTGCTGTGAGCGTATTGGTTGTTTGTCTGGCTAATGGGCACAGCCGAAGGCAATGAGTCCCAGGATGGTAGGTGATGAAATTGGAAGTGAAGACTTACTCTGGATCAAGGGGACCTGGAGATCACTAAGCACATTTAATACAGCTGCAGGTTTTTCCCAAGATGCAATTCTTACTGGGAATATTTTTAAAAACCTTCAGCAAAGAAATGGGAGTCATTAATTATGACGGCATCGAAGCAGATTTGTGTTCATGCAGTGGGCTGTTCTAGTGCTGCAAGCCTCTGCACTGAACTAACAGTTCTCACCCAGTCTGTGGTGACTCCTCCACTGTTTCTCTCTCCCTGCCTCTGTCACGCTCCCAGTACCGATAACGACAATGATGTCTTTGCTGGGACTATTCTGGGTTTCTAGAATAGTCTGAAAAAGCTGCCATCTGTCTCTGTCCCTTTTTAAATATTAACTTCATGAGGCTCTTGAAGCTACTTTGATTGCAGAGTGCTTTGATGTGTGTGTGAAGTGTCAAGAGATTGGTTGCTTTTAATATACCTGTTAATGCAGTGCCCCTCCAGATGAGCCTGTTTTTCATCTGATTTGAAGCAGTGATACTGTATATAGCGACACTGCATGTTAACATCTATTCAAACAGTTACCTCTGTCTCCACCACAGTATTCATTCAAGGCAAGAAGCTGATGTGGATTCTTGCTTCATAACCTTGCAATTTTGTGCAGTAATGACAACAGCATTCAGACAGTGACTTGATAGCAGCTCTCATGCACATGTGTTAGTTAAAGCAGCTTTCTTAGGGGACAGATGAGAGGGTATAAGGTAGGAGCTCTCATTGATGCTCCATTTCAAATTGCACTTGTTAGTATTGTAATGGAAACTGCAGGTATGCTTTATGCTGGTTATTTAGATGCTGCATTGGCTTTGCTGCTTGAATTACTTTTTTTTTTCTAAGAGAAAAAAGGGTGCTTTGATTTACTAGGTGGGCTGAAATCTCCTGTTTCAGATACTTCAGCCCACTTACTTGAGATAATACTCACATTGTGGAAAGTTGACAGAACAATGAACATTGGTGGGGAGGAGGAAGGTTGGCAGATTTCAGCTTCTGGGAGACCCTGTCCAAAACCCAGAGGGCGTAGGCAGGAGGCTCCACAGCGGGATCAAGAACATTCAGATTTGCAGCTTTGGGAAGCTATTGGACAGGTCACTGCAGTGTTAACTATATCCCTGCTATTTCATATTCATCACTGCAATGAAAGGCAAAGCTTTTTGGGACTGTTAGTGTTTGGGAAAACCAGAACAACCAGAGGACAACACAGACTTCAGTTAGTGTATCAGTGTTGTCCAGTAATACAATGCAATACAAAGGCCAAAGTGAACCTCTGAAACCAGGTTTGCATGCTCTGGTTGATAAATGTAATGCTCGGTGATACATTATTCCTACCAAAGCTGTGACACCGTTTGCTTTTGCAGTTGCATAATGCAAACACTGAGTAAGATTCCTCAGCTCACAGGGCGCTGGCATTTCATGAATCCGAGAAAGAGAACGCTCATCGCTTTCAGGGACTGAATGTGTGTCCTGGCTGAAAACTAGGTAGACTAGAAGCAACATGGTGAGCTTTTGGAAGCGTTCAAGACCAGGTTGGATGGGGCTTAGAGCAATCTGGTCTAGAGAAGTGTCCCTGCCCGTGGCAAGGGGGTTGGAGTTAGATGATATTTAAGGCCCATTCCAACCCAAACCATTCTACGGGTCTAGCTAAATTCTGATTATGTAGGTCTAGTACATTTTTAAGTTAGGCTGTCTGTGGCTTAGCCTTCGAAGATATTTTTTTTTTTAATCCAAATAATTTACCTCATGTTATTTACATGTAGGAAATTGATTTCGCTAAACTGCTTGGAGACTGAGGAAAATAGCCTATAATAAGTTCAAAGTAAGCTTTGATGCTAATTGTATTTAAGTGTCTTGTGTTACCACAAATTACAGTTGCCTGGAAGTCAGAAGGAAAGAATAAAAAAGGCTTTGTACGTGTGTTTATTTCTAAGTAAGTAAAGGAGAAATTGCTGCGTCCAATGTGAAAATCTTTTGAAACTTGAAATTTTGAAATTAATTTCTGAGTATTGTTGTCTGTAATATAGTAGTTAAGAGCACAGCCACCTGACCTTTGGCTGCTGCTTTAGAGCTTATAGATGAAGTTCTTTTTCTGAGTGCATCGACTGCGATGGCACAGAAGAATGACTTTTGATCCTCTCCTTGTTTTTAATTCTGAAATGTGTATGTGTTTCTTATTGTAGCTTTTACAAAACTGATCACAGTAAATGGCCAAGAATATCATCTTCAGCTGGTTGACACTGCTGGCCAAGTAAGTACTTTCTTTCTTTCTTTGAATCTTTCTTCAGAGTTAAGACAAGTATTCATACTCATGTAGAGTTCAGTTGGTAGCAACTATGTGCTTGAAGCTGCTGTTTAACTTAAATGATTCTGTCTTGTAATTTAGTTACCATAGAGCAGTATTTCTGTAGTGTTTATTTAGATGGTTTTATTGGGGGTTCATAGGGTTTTTTTCCTGTCTATTGAACATGTGCCTGTAAAGATGGAGAAGGAACTGCCTTAACTCTGATGTACTAAAAGTTCATGAGTTGCTTGCTTTTAAACTTTTTATCTAGATTGCTCGATATTTAAGAACTAAACTAACAGCCTTGCTGTAGATGGAAAATGTCACTTAAATAAATCATGGAGAAGTTATTAATTACTTCTTGCTATTTGTGTTCTCCAGCTACACCACCATGACTTACATCCATTAAATAGTTGTGGGGAGTAGGCAGAAATGCATATAGGTGGTACTGTGGGGACTACCAAATAAACTAAGGCAGTTTGTTTACACTGTTAAGTAAGTGATGACTCATGTATGCTTCTGAGCCTTCATGTAATCACAGGGAGTGCAGAAGTAGACAGTGAATGTGTCCCCTGTAGCATGGTCAGTAGCTTCATGAAGTACAGGGTTCAATTAAGTCCTGCTTGGCTGAACTTGATGTGCATGTTCCACACACAGGACTGCCCCATCTTTTGAAAGTTAGGGAAAAAAAACAGAACAGGGACTGTTAAACCCCTATAATTTTACCCTAGTCATTTTATTGCATACCTGTTCTTACCTTCTGTGAGTTCTGATATTGTGCCTTAAGGTTTTTCCAAACTGTGAGTAGTGTTAAACAATCTTAGCATAAAATATGCTGCCAATGCTAAAGACTTCAAAGCTGCATGACAATTGCTCATAGCTGAGACATTATTCAGAAGGTTTGTAACCTTCTAGGTATGTTTGGTTGCTTTCCTTGAAGAGAACAACATGATGTAAGAATAACCATGCTGTATTTATATGGTGTCAGCTTGTGCTGCTGATCAGCACTACATTCAGTTATAATCTGTCAGAGATGTCTGAAGTGGTTAAAAAACAATACTTGTGACATGTGCTGGGGCAAGATTGTTTGATGGGGAATATTCTGCAGTGGAAGGCAGGGCTGAGATGAGCAGATTGTGAAGTATGAACAGCAGAGCAAGCTCCATAGGTTTCACTTTGTGCCAGTGTCTTGCCTTACATCTCAAATTGTAGTGCTGTGATTCAGGTTCCTCTTTGAGGAAGAAATTACCTTCTGGGAAGGCAGTGTAACTTCACCAGTAACATACCTCTTTTGCTGAGGTTTATTTTCAGGGCTGATTTAATCTTGTACAGTATTGTAAAACCAAAATAACTTCATTCCCAGCCTGTGGTTATTTTCGGATTTGCCTATTCCTATTAATGACTTGAACTTTGAGTTCTAGCTTACAGGGTTAGAAGGGAGAGTTGATACTGGATTATGGAAGGTGTGTCTTGGACAGGTTTTTTTCTCAAGTCTTGTCTAATGATCCATAGGGAATCCTCATGTGTATACAGCATAGCAGGGATTATATTGTAGATTTGTTACATACTTGAAGACATTGCTTTGACTTGAGAAATTGTAGCTATGTTGTTTTATCACTTGGCAAAGTTCTTAGTTTGACCTACAAGTTCCAGGAAGTGTATTTTCTCCTTCTCATAAAAAGCTAAAAATTAAGTAAGTAATTAGAAATAGTGGAGATTATGGCACTTTTTTTCTTGGTACTCCTCTTCTGTTTGTGCCTCCTTATCTTTCATGGTTATCTATTCAGATTTGTGTAGTTCAGTTAAACAGGAGTCTTGGTACAGGATCACAGAAGAGGAGTCCGAGAGGAAGTCTTACCTAACACCAAATTCCAGCTGGGGCAATGCTGAGAAATTCCCGGTAAAGTCAAACAACTGCAAAGTTGCACTTTCACCTGTTTTACAGGCAGACTAGCTCAAATCCCTATTGACTTTGGAATTACACAGCCAGCCCAAGTGGCAGGTTGGCATTTCAGTGGAGGTGGGGGAGGGCTGCACACAGTGTGTAGCAATAAAGGCAAATAAAGGCATTTTTTGTCAAATGTAATTCTTTCAAACTTTTTGTCCGAATCTGTGATGTCAATTTGGAAAGGATTTTTCCTCATTTACCAGTTAAGGAAGTTTGATTCCTTTTGGCTGTCTAGATTTAAGCTGTATGATTGCATTGTTCCATCTGTTCAGTCATGCCAATACACAGAGAAGTTATGTGATCTTTAGCTAAAACTAACATGTTAAGAAGCGTAGGTTTAAACACTTCAGAACTCTTACATTAAGAAGTCTCTTCTCAAAGTGAATATTTCCTGGGAACGCCTATTGGAATATTGTATATTTTTAATATGGGTCTCAGAGTATTTGTGTTGCATTTTCTTCAGTATGGCAGGAAAATATGGTTTCATTTATCTCTTTGGTCTCTTCTTTTTCTACAGGAGTAATAAGGTATTAAGTTTCTGGGTTGTTTTGGTGTTTTGGTTGTTTTTTTTTTAATTAAATGCTTCCCATACAATGTAAACTTCTACTTGTCATAAAGGAGCAGGTAGCTGTATTTCTTGCATCTACAGTTGATACGCATTAGTTGGCAAGCTACAGTTACTTCCTAACAGACCCCTTGGGTAATTTAGATATGATCAGTGCCACTTGAAGTTCTGAACTGCAGGATCCTGTTGTCAGCTGTTGAAATTAGGAATATGCAGTGTATCACTAGCAAGATAAGAGATGTAATTGCTAATTGGTGGTAGGACAGAGTGGATGTTTTCTACTAATACAAACTGATAATTAAGCAGCGTAAGAGGATTGGGGATAGCTTTAGCTGATCCATAGTCTTAGAAGGAATAAACCAAAAAAGCTGTAGATTAAATTTTAGAGTATACAGAATGACTCAGCTTTCTTGTAATTTGGTAAAGATTTCACATCTGGCATTATGGTGAAAAAATGTAATTCTGAAAGTACTACCTATACAAAGTGGTCCTGCACCTCATGTCTTACAAATAGACCAACTTACCTGCTGGTGATCTGCTAGCATCAAGTTCTGTACTGTGGTAGTAAGTAATTTTAAATGCAATATTCCTTCTGCAGGATGAATACTCCATATTTCCTCAGACGTACTCCATAGACATCAATGGCTACATTCTTGTTTATTCAGTCACGTCAATAAAAAGGTAATAAAATCTGTTGTGTTCTTCTGGTTCACATATTAAACAGATACGTTCTGGGTTCAGATACTGCCTCAGCTGTATTTTCTGTACATGCATTTAATTAATTTAATCTCTCCTTCCCTTACAAATAAAATAGAAAGCAAAGTTAATGTTTTTGCAGATCTAAATGTTGGACACTTTGCAGACCAATATGCAGGGTACCATGTAAGAAATCAGGCAGTGCTGAACTATATTGTTTTGAGGTGTAAGTAAAATACATAGAATTATTTCAGGAGTAAGTAGAGTTCGTGGCTCTAGCATCAGGCATAAAGGCAGACTTAAATATGAACCTAAAGAACACTCTACACTTACATCAAGTACCCAGTTAGCAGCTAGAGCAGTACCTCAGCTTTGTAGCTCATTACAGTCCTAAGATTTGACTTCTTGTCTTGGATTGTTCTGGTTAACTATCAGAAATTTTCATATAAATAACAATATTTTACTTTTGACCTGTAGACCCAGTCTTGACATGCTGCAGCAAATAGTCTTATTTGAAAATTTTGCTGGAATATCTGATTTGTGTTTGCTGTTAGCTGTCCATTCTGACTTGAGGACAGAGTCCATCATAGTGGGAGTCTCTTACTTGCAAGATACATCTCAGCCTTCACAAGTCTTTGTCATCATATGTTAGTTTGACCCTTCCTCTGGCTGTTTTGCTTTGCTTGAATACTGCTCATTCTTGAATAGATCTCAGTTTTCTAATATTGTACAGCATCTTTGTTATGACAACCAAAATAATGCTATTTTAAATTTTTCTTTGAGTAAAATGATTAGAACCTTAGACCTTTCACTCTTACTAAGTAGAAGTTGAAGGCACCTTTCCTAGATGTGTTCAAGGAAAGGCTGAATGTGCCGTGCTCTAGATGATGTGATTGTGTTAGGTCATAGGCTGGACTTGATAATCTCTAAAGGTCCTTTCCCAGCCTTGGTGATTCTGTGGTTCTTCTGAGAAAGCTGATCAGATTTTTACAAGTGTTGAAGCATTCTGTGTCTTTTCCTCTGAATCAGGCAAGACTGGTCATCTTAAGTTCTCTTTAGTCGATCCTCATAAAATACAGGTACAACATCTTGCCTGTTGGCTTTTCTGTGCTTTGCAAAGAAAGGATACGGTCTGGTCATAAACTTCATTGCTTGCAATTTCTTTAATGTTGAACAGGTTTTTACAGTCCTTCATTCTTGATTTTGATCCTTAGTTCTGAAGTAGTGAAGGGCAAGCACGTGTGATCAGGAGGAAATGCAGCAGATGTTAGGCTTTCCTGTGTGTCTAGAGGTAATAAACCACATTTTTTTTAAATTTAGAGATTCAGTGTTAGTGCTGAGTAGCTTGTATGAAAAAGAGTTAGTATTCTCAGCCTTAAGTAGACAATCCTCCACTCCTAAAATTAATAGAAGCATGTTGATTGCTAAGTGGTGCTGTAAGGACAGAAATGTCTTTCACTAAAATCAGTGTAGATTGCTTAGAGGCTGCTGCAGCTTGTGCTGTTCTCTGGTTGGCAGCTAAAAGAAATGTTCTTTTTTTTAGGCTACTCCAGTTGCTGCTTCATGATGTCTTGAGCATAGCAGCATAGGTGAAGGAACGAAAAATCCATTTTCTGTGGCAGCATTCAGTCAGTTAAAACAGAAACCAAATTATGGTGAAAGTACTGACAGAACAATATGTTAAATAGCCTTTTCATTAGCATTTTAGTTTTTATCAATTTATTCCAAGTTTTTTTTGTTCCTTTTTTTATTTCTTCCACAATATTCCAGTAGCTTATATGACTTGCCTGGGCAATCAAATTACATCTGTCTTGACTTCTGTCGAAGTGTGTATATTGATCTGAGTATTTGAGAGCATCGACAGCAACCTTAATAGAAGTGCCCTTTTAAAACTATCATCTTCCCTGCTAACTTCCAGTGGAAAGTTTAGATGGGACTTTAATAAAAGCTAATGTCTTATGTTTTTCGTATTCCCAGACTCTTAAGCAGCAAGGTGAAAGGCTTTTGCTCTAGTTCAGCTTAAATAAATTACAATTATTTATCTTGCAAGGGTCCATAATTTTGTGTAATACGTTTATCTGGCAGCTAGCAATTTTTGTGGTTACATTTCACACATTGAGCTGTTTGCTGTAACCCTATTTGTTTGACAGAACTGGAAAGGAGCTCTTAAGGTCTCCAGTTCTCTTGCTGTTTCATGACTTGATGTGATGATGCTCTTTTTGGATTGCTCAATATCTGTCTTAAAGTGTGTTGCTGGTCCTTCTAGCCTTGTTAATTTGAAAAGCTTTCTGGAACATTAAATTAATCTGGTCAAGCCAATTCACTTCCTGGCAGTTCTTAACAGTTGTTTCTGTGTCAGAGTAAATAGCACTTCTCTTTTGGTTTCCACCTTGGTTGGTTCACAAAGATCAGTTGTTTATTTGTAGTATTTTTACCGAAAATGTGTGTAGTGAACTATCCTAGGCAAGCAGGTAGGTACGGAGGATTGGGCAACGAAGAGCTCAAGTTGAACAAGAACACTTTGCAGCATTGTGCCCTGGAACCTCAGGTGAGGACTTGCCACGGTGCTGTGCTGTGACATGGTGGTTTTCTGGCTGTGCTGGGAGCAACACACCTAATAGTGGAGGGGAAACAGTGATTGTACTGTGTTAGTGATTCAGTTATCCTGTGGCTAGTATGCTAGATCTTTCCTCTTTCTTCAGACTGAGAACCGGTTTTGTGGTCTGTAGCAGAATTTTTTGGTAGTATTTTTATTCCTCTTTTGGTTTGCCAAGTCACCTAGTTCTCTGTGTAGCAATGCCTCTGACCTCTGTCACAATGAAGTTCCACTTAACTCTTACATTTGAAATAATTATAAGAACCAAAGTCCAAGAGAAGTTCTCAGGACCAGATTTTCACTAATACCGTTTCAGTCCATCAATTCCACAATTTTATGTAATGTGCAGTATTATACTTGAATTACTAATACCAAATTGTGTCAGACTAAGTTACACTTCTGTTTGCAAAGAACTAATTTTCTTAATAGGTTATAGTTAAACTATTAGCTGAACATGGAGAATACTGTGTTTTACTCAATCTCAAAAGTCAGACAAATTGACTTACCTGATAAATCCTTCTTAAATATGGTAGCATTTGTAGTTCCAGAAGTGAGAAGTTTTAGTGATTCAGATAGCCTGAATAGTGGTTTTAGGCACCAGTTCTTTAAGAGCGCCGAGTTGGAAGTGTGTTTGAGTGCTGCTCTATTTTTGAGAGTTTCAGTTCTAATTTAAATGCAGTGTGAGTCAAGACACTCTGCAGCTAGCAACCTTGGAAGCTGGAAACGTTCTGGTCGCTTTTTTGTTGTCTAGTTGTATGTCACATGTGTTGTGCGAGCTTGTTCCTCTCTCTTAAATCTGAGTTGTACACTTCATGTACCAGCAATTTTCCATACTGTAATTAGAGGAGCACAACATCTGCTCTTCAGCCCCATTTATAGCTTGTTCTCAAAGTACTAAATGTCAAATGCAGTGGGTTTTGTTAGTGAGGTTTTTGACTTCTTGGTATTTCACAGTACTACTTCTTATCTCTGGTCATCCAGACTTCATGTGCATGGTAGGTAAACAGAAAACAAGTATTTTGAATTACCACTGTTTTGATACCATCTTGCAGATGAGTTTACTCACTTTCCATAGAAAATTAGAATTTAGGCTGCTTTTGTCTTTCACATAAAAAGAAAAAACTCTGTATGAATGAAGTGCATTTAAAAAAGAATGTATTATTTCAAGATGAAGTGTGCTTAGCTAAAACTGCTTTAATTTGACACGCTCACCCAGGATTGTTGGGACTCTAGTAGTTAACCTTCTTACTGCAGATACAAACCAGATGAGAGGTGGGAGAGGCTTTTAGTGATTCTATCCTACATGCATCTGTCCTGGGTAATGCTACTTATTTCTGCAAATATCATAACTGGGCAGGCTCTAATGATAGGTGTATGCTAGTCTTTGCTGCTTCTGGGACCATTTTGTCTGTTGGGCACAAACTGGTAAGACTTTAAGCTTCTTTCTAGTTCTGCCACTATACAGAGTTAAGTTTTAAACACAACAAGCTACATATGCATTTAATTGCTTGTGTATTAGGTATTAAGGATAAACATTGGAGTGCATGTGTGACTTCATCCCTTTATTTTGCAGTTTTGAAGTGATAAAAGTTATCCATGGCAAGTTATTGGATATGGTGGGAAAAGTCCAGTAAGTAGTGACACTTTCATCTCATTTCATTGCAGGCATGTTGCTAGTACTTTGTTCAGTATACTATAACTGTTCTGAAGTTCTGAACTTTCTTTCACAGAATACCCATTATGCTGGTTGGAAATAAAAAAGACCTGCATATGGAACGGTATGTGACCTCCAGTATGTGGGAAATGCAAGACAGCAGCCGACATTCCTGTGGCTGCAATGGGCTGGCTTTGTTCTTGGCTTTCCATAACTGAAATCAAATTGTAGGTTAAAATAAGGTACTGGCAAAGAAGTTGTATCCAGAATGTGAACTAAGAGCCATGAACTTGTGTTGTAATGTTGACTTTTGACATAAGGTTCTAGGGACGGTTGTTTAACACTTTGGGTTTTTTCAAAACAAGTAACTGAAGTGTTTTCTTCACGACTGTAAAATACCAGATGATGTTCCAGATTATTAAAACAAAGCAATACTTTGGGACGGCTGCTTTTCTGGGTCACATAAAAGTTTTAGCTGGCCCGGTAGACCATTTAACAGCAGCCAAAAGCAAATGCTGTAGATCAGACTTCACAGAACATTCCTATTACGTGCATTTATGTGCTTCAGTACTCTGAAGTCTTTCGTGATGTATCAAATTCCAATTATTTTGCAAGTTACAAAGAAACATACTTTATTTTCCTTTGGTCAGGGTGATCAGCTATGAAGAAGGGAAAGCTTTAGCAGAATCCTGGAATGCAGCTTTCTTGGAATCTTCTGCTAAAGAAAATCAGGTAATGGATTTAAAATTCACTTTATTCAATTAGCAATGCCATGGAATGACTCGGTTTCACTTAATAAAGGAAGATAAAATATTAGCATGTACTCTGCAGGTATTTTGTGTAGATGGTTGGAAACAAAATGTCTGTCTGCATTCAGATTTGTGTGTACAAGTTTTTCCATGTAACTGTAAATGAAGGGAGGAAGCAAAGAACTGAGAGTTAAGCTTCACTGAACATAGCAGAACACTTTGTGACAAACTCGAATCCACGTGGTGGGTGGAACAAGGTCTGATCTGCTGCAGTTACCTCAAATAGGAGGTCACTGCGGTTGCATAGGAATGAGTTGGTATAAGGTGATGAACCTCGTGTTTTAAGGCTCTGGGTGAGGCTCTTGTCTCTCTAATGTGGGCAATAATTGTTTTTAGGGAGGGGCGGGGGGCGTGTAGAAGGAAACTGAAAGATGTTAGAATACAGCAGAGGCTGTCAGACACTGCTGTGATACAGCTGGAGTGAAGTTGCATGATCTGACACAATATAGCCCACAAACATTTACACTTGCTGGTTTCCTTTCACAGAAATGAAGTCTTTAATTACATGTTGAATAATATTGTCATCTTGGTTGTGATAACTTGCTTTAGAAAGTCTCCTAAGTGTGTTCTGGTATTTCAGTTTGTTCCTGTGGCTGTTAATCATAATTTGTAAATGATTTGACACTTTAGGTATCTAAGCTACAAGAGCCTTCTAGTTTGGGCTTGAAGTAATGATAACTGCTGTAGGTTGAAGGGGAGGTGCCTTTATTCTCTCTTTCTTTTTCCTTGCTATTTTTTTCCGTATGGGTATTGAGCATCAAAACCTTTGCTTTTTGAAAATACAGACGTATCAGATCAAAAGGACATTGTAAGGATAGTTTTAAACAATTGAGTCCTTACGCAGAAGAAATGCTTACATTGCTTCATATTTAGCCTAGCTTATCACATCCTTGGCCTCCTTGATAACATCAGCACAATCAGAAGGGAGGGCAATCCTATTGCTAGGAGTAGGACTTGTTCAAGGAGCCTTCCTTTCCCTCTCCTCCATCCCCAAAAGCAAAAAAGATTTGTCTAATGTCTGTTGTCAACAATTCTACACGTTACTTGAGTAAAGTTGGATTTTCCCTGGAAGAACTACTTGGATTTTTTAATCCAGATATTAAACTCTTGGAGTTAGTTTATCAGTACTTCTGTTTTTGGCTAAGACTTAATAAACATTGTCAAAACTGGGTATGGTGAAAGCATGAAGTTTCTCAATATCTCCTCCGTACTGCTGCAGAGTTTTCAAGTTGCATACCCAAGGAAACTAAATTGACAATGTCAAGAATAAATCAGTTAAGCATCTGATTCCCACACCCTTTATGTTAAAAGACTCAGTACTTTTGGATTAGGCAAAGCTATTTCTGGACACTTTTTCTTTTGGCATATGGTCACAACGTGTAACAGTAGCAATTCATATCTAGCAGAACATCTTGCTGATAACTTTTCTGAAGTTTGTATTGTTCTTAGTTTAAGAAAAAAAAAAGTTGGATATATTTATGAAAAAAAGCATACAAGCCTTTTATGATGCTTGGTATGTCTTGGATATTAAACTGCTGCACGAACGAGGTCCCATTGACTGCCATGTGTTTGTGTCTGTTCCTTTACCTTCAGACTGTCCATATTAAGTTATGCTGCCAGATGAAATGTATATAGCAACTCCGTAGTTTTCAGGGAAATCAGAATTGGCAATTGTATTGTGAAACATTCAACATGTACAGTCCTGTACAAATACCACAGCAAATCAGAAGTTCATTATTCCTGCTAAAGGTGTCTGTTCAAGGTCTTCATTTCAGCTGGATCCTTCAGAATAGTGATCATGGGTCACTGTAAATTCTGTCCCTCTGGATTTAGACACAGGTTCTTAGAAACAGATGCTTGGACACAATTCCTCCATCATGCCTTGCAGATACATAATACACCTGGTGGATTTGTCTGGCTTCAGAAGTTTGGGAGATCATATGTCACTTCTGAGATGGGTTCCCACAGCATGTGACCATCTTTCAGGCTTTCTGGTGTGCTTCCTTTGGAGGCTTGGGAGGTGCAGAAGGAAGTGTGAAGCAGCCCAGAACTGGGGCAGCTGCCTTAGTCTTCTAGCTAACCACTGTGAAGGAAAGCTCACCTTCGAAGAGCTGGGAGATTGAGGTTTGAGAAAGTGTGGAGTCCAGAGCTGTGAGACACTAGGGGGAACCGAAGACATCAGGCATTGTATCCCTTTCTATGAGTTAGACCAGGAGCACTTCTGAACTCCTGTGATTTTTCCTCCAAATTCTAATTTGACAGGATCAAAACAGCTGATTTATAGATCTCTATCAAGACAGGGTATGATCTCTTACTCTGAAGCTATCTCTGGTTTGGGGGGCAGGGAAAGGGTTTCTTTTCAACTTAGTAACAAGGTGTGTTGTCATTGTCCTGGTACTGAATGTTCACTTTATTAAGTCGACATTGCTGAGAAAAGTCTGGCAGCACTTCTTGCTTTGAAGGCTCATCCAGATCATCAACCTGTATTGGCTTGGTACAGCAAATGTAACTTGCCTATCAAGATTAAGTCTAAATGAGTTCCAAAGCTGCTGCTGATTCTGTTGGCTTCTCAGAAAGCTAATTTGAAGCTTAAAGGGATGAGCTGGACTGTACTGGGAATCTAGAGCTTAAGAAGTTAAGCAGAGAGGTGAAACCTTCCTGACTGGGGGGAAGTCTGTTAATTCTTTCTCTCTGAAACCTTGCCATTGGTATTTGGTGGATGTGGAGCAGAAATAGGACGATTTCTAGTATGCTGTTCTGAAATTGTCTTTTCAGGGAACTGCTGAAACCAGAGAATATATTCCCTATAACAGGTTCAGATAGCAAAAGCTCCTTTCCCCCTACACAAGGATGGAAAGCACTGACTCTTCTCCCTTCCTACTTTGGCAGAAAGATAATACTCCTTTTTGGAGCATCTGTGAAAGTCCTGTGAGCATAGCTGTACTATGTTGGGCAACTAAAATAGTTCTATAGATTAACTTCAACCGACTAGATGTATTCTAGTTACCAAAAGATACCACATTCCAGAACTTGAATGACTTGGAATAGATGGAAAGTAGGAGAGGCAAAGATCAAAGCTGTGGTGACCATAAATGGTAGTGGCTGGCATGGGTTCTCAAGGTCATGTATGTTTGAGGCTCTGTATCAGCTCCTGCAGACAAGGGGTGACCTGGTAGGGCTTCTGGAGGAGCCTTCATGTCAGGAACACATAAGCCACCTAGGGAAATCCCTGGGCTTTTGAGAAGGCAATTCAGAGACTTAATGCAACAGACATCATTTAGATTACTGGTGGGCTGGTATTGTCATACCTTCTCAAGATGCTTAATTATTATGTGTTGAACTGCTTTGGCTGACTTCAGGAGCTTTGAGCCTTCACCATGGAATTCCCTACTTTGTTTCACCTAAGCTGTAGAATAATGCTTCATCTTAGTCCCAGTACAATAAAGTGGTAATGGTTTGAAATGCAACCAGAATCCAAATTGGTCTTAAACCTACTTGAAGCTGGGAGCCAGCTTCTACTGGAAGAATTTAGGAAGTAACAAGCAGCCCAATTGTGTTCATTCAGTTATGCAAAATTCATTACATAAACTTGTTTTAGAAGGATCAAGGAAGTAGCAAAAAATGTACTTCTTGCCAAAACAGAGCTCTCTTAAAAAGCAGTTGCTGAGGCATTGCTTCTTTTTTAAGAGCAACTTCATCTTCAAGTTCAGAAGACGCATTGCTCAGTAAGTGCTTCAGAGTGGTTTTTGGATCTCAGCCCTTCTCCAGGGGTCTGACATGTCTACCTGGAAAAGTGTGTTTGGACTGGCAGAAGATGTGGGGGAAAATCCTCTCTTCCTTTACCTGACTGTTGTTCCAGTTCCCTTGTCCAGTTCTGTGCCAAGATAAACTAGTAGCATGAGCTGTTGAGAATTTCCTCTTAAAAATAATAAAACAGTTGCATAGTTGAAAAGCACAACATACCAAGGGGCTGCCTGACTCTGGAGGCCATGGGCTGGGGTTGAGTGTTTGTACCTTCCTGTGCTGGCTCCCCGCAGCATGTTCCCGACTCCCTGCTGGTGCAGAGGGAATTGTACCTCCCGAGCTGTCCAGCTCACACCATGGGACACATCTACAGAAGCAGTTGAGCCTCTGGTGTCTCTTGCATGGTGCTGAGCTCTCTGGGTAGCATATGTTGCCCAGGCTGACATCTATTTTGTTTCCTCAGGGGAGAAAGGCAGAAGAAAGCCAGATGGTTTTCTGTAGGCTAGGTGTGACCCACATTCTGTAATTGAACCATATGGAGGCAGATGCATATAAAGTCTGTCTGCATTCTTTATTTCTGGTCACAAAACATAGCTTCTTGCATTGCTTAAAAGCTCATTCTAAAATCCTTCAGCATGTTTGGGCTGAATTAAAATTCCTAAGTGTTAACTGTAGGACAGTGATTAAATCTTCTCAGTGAATACATCTTTTCTGTGAAATGAATTAACAAGCTCTGTGAACTCCTACATCTTAGTGTGTCAAACATCATGTCTTTGACAGAGAATGTGCAGCTTCTTGGTTGACAGAAGAAGTTGTGAAGGTTTTTTAATGGATGCTTTGAAGCAGAGGTAAAACTTGTGCATTAAAATGAAACCATTGAAAATTTGAGTTCTAAGTAAGGAAACATGGGTGCAGCATATTTGTAAATCAGTATGTCATCAAGTTCTCATTATGGGAAACTTCATTAGTGGAACCAGTTTGATAACAAATGCAGTCTTGACTGTGATTCTTTTAGAGTCTAATTTGCCCAGGAAATGTGTTGTATCATTACAGGACTAATGAGCCATTTCTGTCAGATTCTGTTGGGATTGCAGGGAAACTCCATTATATGGAGGAATATTCTGTTTCCAGATATTTGTAAAGTACTGTGCACAAACTGTACAAGTGTGGGAAACTTAAAAATTCAGTCTAATCTTGTTAAGATTGCTTTAAGATTGTCGTGGGGCTACTTCAGTCATTGAGATTAATTTGGAAGTTATCCAGTTAAGAATTATACCTTGCAAAGGCAGAAAAACATCTGTCAGATCAGAACACACAGTCATAAATCACAGGGTGCTCTTCTGCCTGCTGGTTAAAACCAGCAAAACCCCCTTTTTATCCTCCTTCCTAGTGTGACTGCTTGTATATAATGAATATACCTTCCTTCTTAAAGAGTGTATGCTTGGAATTCATTAAACAGATGGCTAGAGGTTAGATAAACTTAAACTTAAAATGGCATGTCTGAGATGATCAGAACACCATTTCCAAGTTGAAGATTCACATGTTCAAGTACTGATCATATGGTGAATCTGCAGCTTGAAAATACTGTAGAGAAGAAAAGTGCTTTAGAATTGTCCTTGACTGGTGTGGATTTACTCATCTTAAATTACTTCTAGGCAATCTTAGATGCTACATGTTGTAGTTTCTGCACTTTTTGATGGAGGCTAGTGTACAATTTTGAAAGCCTTAGAATTGGGTGAACCCTGAAAATACCAGGTTAACAGTGTAAGGTATTTGGTACAAGTAGCATTTGTGATGCTGTCCCAGACACCTTTCTTTTCTCTTTCACTATTCCTAAAAACAAGCAATCAAAACCCCAGCTAAAACCAAGTTACACTTAATTGTATTCTTCTGTAAAACGTTCTGAATCATTGAAGTGGTCTGACATTCTTTCTCAGTGTCTCTGTTTCAGTTAAACTTATTTTCATGGGAAATCATGTCTTTTCATCCCAAGGTTTTTAACTTGGACTCACTAGCATGTGTGTGTTGAGGGAAGTATCCCTGTTCAGAGCCCTTGTATTGTTTCATCACCTGGAGCTTGGGTAGGGAAGAGCCTTTTTCACCAGGCTGCTTTGTGCTCAGTGTGGAGACTTGGCAGAGTTGACAACAGAACAGGGTCCTCCTGCCCTGAGCTCACTCACTGCCTTCCCTCTGAAACAGTGAGGGGATCCCTGGTGTGTGTGTGGTGCAGTTTTGGGATCCCTGGGGTATGTGTGGTGCAGTTTTGCAGAGGCTTCTCATAGTTCTGTATGTTCCCTGCGTTAAGCCAGGGTGTTTATGTGAGCCTGGCCATCTTAGCAATGGCTGTCCTGTAGTTTAAAAGGTTAAAGCTGTTTAAAATGTAACCCCCTTTCTCTCTCAGAAGGAGTTTATTGAAGGATATTGCTTAATGTTAGGCAGTGGGTCATTTGGCTCACGTTTTCCTTTGTGTTCTTGCACTATGTCTAACACTGTAAGATGAGAAAGTAAAGAATAGTAAAATAACCCTCATACTGGGCGGTGTGAAGTCACTGTTCAGAGATGAAAATTCTACTGCCTTTTGTAATGACTTGGAATCTTAAATATTACTTAGAAGGAACAAATGGCTTTGTTCTCTGGAGCAGCACAGCAAAAATCTTCAATGCTGTCAGTCACTCAGTGCAAGTTTCCTATTTAAAATAAAGCTGAATTACAGGGATTAGCTCTGGTGTGTGGTGCCGTTTACACTTCCCCTCCCTGCAGGATTGCTGTAGAGAAGAGGTTCATATTATTCTGTAATTAGTGTATTTTTCCTCTTGGATTTAGAGTAAGTGTTGGACCTGCATTTATTTGTGTGTTGGTGTAGCCAGTAAAACCGCCAACACTTTATTTTGTTTTATTTTTTTCAGGAAGTGGGCATTTTCTGCTCACCTACTAACCTTGTAATCTCTCTCTGCAGACTGCCGTTGATGTTTTTAAGAGGATAATTTTGGAGGCAGAAAAAATCGATGGGGCAGCTTCACAAGGGAAGTCTTCATGCTCAGTAATGTAATTCCACTGCAAAACCTGAAAACACTGGGAATACATTCTACCTGAAGAAGCAAAACTGCCCATTATCTTTAAGGATAAACTATGCTTCTTTTTTTTATTTTATTTTTTTCTTCTGTTAACCTGAAAGACAGACAGTTGGTTTGGAGCCTTTCCCTTCAGATTATGTTAAACTCTGACTCCTGTGCAAATGGCTTCACTTCCATTTTCAAATTTTAAGCAATCATATTTTCAATTTATATATTGTATTTCTTAATATTATGACCAAGAATTTTACTGGCATTAATTTTTCAGTGTAGTTTGTTGGTTAGAATAATCATCAAAAAGATGCATATTGTTACACTACTATTAACTAGGCTTGGATATCAGTGTTTCTTTGTGTTAAATGTATACTTGTAAATAAAATAGCTGCAAACCTTAAATGCTTTCTTTATAATTTTTTTATTGGTTACTCAGTGGAACCTTGTTTCTGTGAAAAATACTCACCTGCTGCCCTTAAGAGGAGGAGTGAGATCTTTGGAGCCAGTGGATTGATTGACTATTGTTTGGGAAGTTGTTTGTGAATGATCCCAACCATTTTTATTCATGGGAAGGAGACACAAGTGACACCTTAGATTTGGAAGGGAAGGCTTGGGTTTGCAGCCAGACAACCTGCACTGAGTTTTATCTCTGTAGCTGTTCAGAGTCATGGAGCAAAGGGTGCTTAGGTCTCTCCAAGCAGGGCTCACACCTGCAGCACAGACTGTTCTTGTAGACTTGTAACTAGGAGCCCTGCCAGGATGGAGTAGGTTTCTCCAGGTCGGAAGTGTAGGCTTGCTAAGAAAACAAAAATGGCCTTGCATGTCCTGAACAAATTGATGTGGGTTGTTTACTGTGCATTTCTGTACTTCTGCATCTGGAGAGCATGGTGAGGGGTCTCCTGGCAGCTGGCTGTTCACAGGGCACAGCTCTGGCAGCTTCTCCTAAAAAAACTGCAAATTTTTGTTTGTCTTTTGAACTAGAGGTTTAACAAGCCTTAATCTCTTCACTCTGGAAACAAACTACTTGACCTACTCTGTTTTTAAGAACAAGTCCTAAACAAGCAACAAAAACACATGAGGCTGGTTTGGGGAAATGAAGTGTTCCTCATGCTTTTTGGTATCCATTTGAAAACGTTATTTCCAGCAGAAGTAAAATGGAAGGGAAAGTTGCAATGTGTTTGCAGCCAGAACTAGCTTTTGCATTTTGGTCTGTGCTGAAAGATGGAAATTCAGCATGTCTCATATCTTCATTTCTTGTGCAGTGGTTCCCTCATTATGTAGAAAATTGTCTGATCCCTTCAATTGACAGTATATGTAGAAAAACCTTGGTCACCATGAGATTAACTGGCTTCCTGGCAAAAAAAAAATTGCCTTTTATTTTTTTGTCTCTTTAGGGTATTTTCCAAAGTTTCTGAAAGCTTGTTTGTTAACCTGAATTTTTATATCTTGGGCTAAATACAGCTGGATGATGGTTACATTTGATAGATGACTGAAGTTCAGTGAAGTCAGGGTGCTCATTGAGGGAAACCAGCACATGCTTGGATTTTGAAACCAGACTGATCTGGGGCTGTACAGCAGGTTTCCTTCACAAGAACCTGCAGGGTAGTTTGGCTTATGATCATAGAATCACAGCATGGCTTGAGTTGAAAGGGACCTTGAAGGTCATCTAGTTCCAACCTTCCTGCATGTGCAGGGACAATTCCCACTAAACCAGGTTGCTCCGAATCCCATCCAGCCTGGCCTTGAACGTTTGGTGGGAAGGGGCAGCCACAGCTTCTCTGGGCAATCTGGGCCAGTGTCTCATCACTACCCTCCTACTAAAGATTTTCTTCCTAATATCTAACCTTAATCTACCCTCTTCTAGCTTAAAACCATTACCCCTTGTCCTGTCACTACACATCCTTAAAAAAAGTCCCTCCCCAGCTTTCCTGTAGCCCCTTAAGGTACTGGAAGGGTGTCTATGGTCTTCCCAGAGCCTTCTCTTCTCCAGGCTGAACAGCCCCAACTCTCTCAGCCTGTCTTCATAGCAGAGCTGCTCCAGCCCTCGAATCATCTTCATGATCCTCCTCCGGACTCACTCCAGGAGCTTTGTGTCTTTCCTGTGCTGGGAGCTCCAGAACTGGACACAGCACTCCAGGTGGGATATCAAAAGTGTGGAGCAGAGGGGGAGAGAATCGCCTCCCTTGACCTGCTGGCCACACTTCTTTTGATGCAGCCTATGATGAAGCTGCTGAGGATTCAGAAAGTGATCTGTGGAACACAGGAACAATGTGCATCTGTTCATGCATCCTTCCTTGCCTAATGGCAAGGCGATAGATGATTTGTTGCATGACCAGTCTGTGGTGTTGCATCATGGACACAACGTCATGTGGTCTACATCAAAGGCAGAAGTTATGGAATATCAGAAACCTCAAAGGCCACATTTACTGTATTTTTTTGTCAAGTAGTGGCTGCATGGGACTGGTGATCACTAATGCCTGAAGTAGCTGCTGCCTTGCTGCTTGCAGTGTGCCAGCTGCTAATGCCTTTAAGGGCATAGATGAGGAAATGTGCAACTTGATAGGCCTGGGATAATCAAGGCCCTGCCTTCCAGGAGGGAGGCTTTTCAGAAGGGCTTGAAGGCAGGTGCAAGTGTGGATGATTTGCAATGGGAACTTTCAGCCCTTCATGTACTCAGCACTGAGAATCATGTTCTGCTCTTGCCTTTTCTATGAGAGCTGAAGAATGGCCTTCATCAATGTCTGCTGTTTCCTTTGTCCTTTCTCTGCCTCATCCAGTAAGGAATAGAAATTATTCCACTCATCCAAGCCTTTCTCTGCTAACAAGTTCTAAAGACCAGTCACGTGCAATAGTCTTGCAGTTTGAATGAAATGTGTACTGAAATACTTGCCCTTTGCTGTACAGAGATTGCAGTTGGCTTCTTGAGGTGGCATCTTTCAGCAGTTGGAATCCAACAGATGCTGAGGCAGCTTCTGGCCTCCTTATACTGACTGAAAAGCCCTAAAATGGGGTGGTGGGCAATGTTGAAAGTCCTGTGTTATGTTCAGAAGCAAGAAATGGGTATCTAGTAAACTGTGTCTTGCCTGGAACTGATTAATTCATACAGCCTGGTATGGCAGCTGCCCTGATCCTTTGGAGGCTTCTGGAGGACTGGGATAAATGGTGCATGGATTAAAAGGTAAGTCATGAAGGAAATACATTCTCTATCCAAGGCTAGAAAAAGTTTGATATATCCTTAATGGGGCCCAGCCTTATTCTCAAGGGATGATCATTGACAAAGGTGAAAGTGCAAAGACTTTGTGAACTATTATACCCCCAAGGGTTGGGAGTGTTGGGCCCCAACGACGATGTCACCTTGTCACCCTAGTGCTCCCAGCCATGACTCCAAAGCAGGACATGTCTCCTCCTTCCCTTCCAGGGCACCAGGTGCAAGGCCATGGGGAAGGGCTGGTTTTGAGGACCCCCCTAGAGCCCCCCACTCTGGTTGCCACTCTTCCAAGAGGGAGTTTCCATGTGCTGTTACTTTTCCCACACCATCTGGTGAATAACGTGGCACCTAGAAAATAACACCAGAAATTCAGGGAGGGGTTGGTTTTGTTTGGTTGTTTTTTTTTAAATTAGATGAGACTTTTCTTCATCATTTCCTGCTTTCCCTCAGAACATGTCAATGTAAACAGTGTTCCTGTGGTGCTGGGGCAGGTTTACCTGTGTCAGCTGAAGGATGCATTTCTTCTCCAAACACAACATGCCACTTCCCTCCTCCAGTGCATCTTCCAGCTCAGCCTACGTGTGCGTGCACATGCACTCATTAACTTTTATATCTTAATTGAAAGGGTGGTGTATGTTTAAGCCTTAATAATGACATCCTTTCTTCCCAAAAGGTCTTTAATCTTGAAATGAAGCAATGAGCAGAGGCAGCAGCGCGGGGCTGCTGTGTGAAGCTGCTGGCATGCGGGTGGACAGGAGGAACCTGCCAAGAAAGGAGTTTTTAGGGTTTGGATTTGAAGCATTTCCTGATGGTCCAGGAAACTGCTGGGGGATGGGGGCAGGGGTGAAGAGGAGGATTTTATGAGTAGGAGCTGGGTGGGAGGTTTCTTCCAGGGCTATTAAATAGTATAAAAGACAAATCTCCTTTTATCATAGTGCCTTGGTGTGTCTCTGCATGCTGGTCCATGGGCCACCCCCATGTAATTTGCCTTTACCTCTTTCTATCCTGGCTCATTCATATAAACTGATGAACATAAACTGACAGGGCTGATGGGAGTGGAACACCTCCCTTATGAGGAAAAGCTGCGGGAGCTGGGTCTCCTTAGCTTGGAGAAGAGGAGACTGAGGGGTGACCTCATCAATGTTTACAAATATGTAAAGGGTGAGTGTCAGGAGGACAGAGCCAGGCTTTGTCCAATGATGTCCAGTGATAGGACAAGGGGCATTGGGTGCAAACTGGAGCGTAGGAGGTTCCACGTAAACATCAGAAAAAACTTCTTTCCTGTGAGAGTTACAGAGCCCTGGAACAGGCTGCCCAGAGAGGTTGTGGAGTCTCCTTCTCTGGAGACATTCAAACCCCGCCTGGACACGTTCCTGTGTGATGTGCTCTGATCCTGCTCTGGCAGGGGTTTGGACTGGATGGTCTTTCGAGGTCCCTTCCAACCCCTAAGATCCTGTGATTTTGTGATGGGCTGGAGCTTCCCTGTGTTATTTATCCTGAGAATAAGGCAGTTTAAGCCTCTGGGTGCTCTTAAAACACAAAAGAGGGGAGTATAAAGCAGCTTTTCCTTGCACTGGTGTTTGGGACACCAATCTCTGAAGCCATAATTGCAGCTATAGGAACAATATTCCATTATAGTCAATGGTATGGCTTAAAAATCCCTCTAATCCTGACTTGTATCTATGTCTCAGTGCTGAAAGATCAGAACATTCATAACAATGATGCTTGTGAAAAACATCAGTGGGTTTGTGAGCCCAGCTGTTGTACTTTGGAGGGAATTAGGTCCTTGGCTTTTGGAGATGCTGTTTAAAGAGGTTCAAGGGTTGAATGAGAAACCATTGCTTTGAGGGATGGGGTGCAATGTGTTATTGGTGAGGAGCCTTCCAAGGACACTTGCTTTTGGCTGCCACGCTGCAACAGGTAAGAAGAACCTGGGAAGAAAAATAAGAAGGAACAAACTGCACCATGGTTAGAGCTGCTGTTGGTCCCATGTTTACTTCTCATCTGTTTGAAGAATTAAAAAAAAAAAAAAATTAAAAGGAAAAAAGGGGTGGAAGAATCAGAGTCATAGAATCATAGAATGGTGTGGGTTGGAAAGGACCTTAAAAATCATCTAGTTCCAACCCCCCCGCATGGGCAGGGACACCTCCCACTAGACCAGGTTGCTTCAAGCCCCATCCAGCGTGGCCCTGAACACTTCCAGGGATGGGGCTTCCACAGCTTCTCTGGGCAACCTGTGCCAGAGTCTCACCACCCTCACACTAAAGAATTTCTTCCTAATCTGTAAGCTAAATCTCCTGTCTTTCACCTTAAAACCATTTCCCTTGCCCTATCACTACACACCCCACACCCCTGTAAAAAGTTCCTCCCCAGCTGTCCTGTAGCCCCTTCAAGAGAAAAAAAAAAAAGGGGGAAGGGGGGGAGACAGTTTTTTAATTAATTTATTTTTTTAAGAGGGGGGAAAAAAAATGTCCTTCAAAAAGGAGCAGTCAGTGTGCACTGCTAATCAACCAAAACCCTGCCAAGCAAATCTTTTGTCAGATCATCAGCCTGAAATCAAAACCCCAGAGTCAGCAGCCCCCGTTACCAGCAGTTCTGCCTACAAAGCAGGAAAGCCTAAAGCCCCCCCTGTTCCCGAGGCTTTGTTAAAAAGTCCTCACCACACCAGCCCCCTCTGTCCCCTCCCCTCTCTCCCCCCCCATCCTGGCTGCTATATAACGGGGTGTCCAAACGTTTCTGTCCCTTGCAGTTTGGGTTTGGCTCCTGCCTTTGGCCTTGGATAGCAGCCAGCAGAACATGTCTCAGTACTCAGGAAAAGTAAGTAACGACCCAACCCGCTTCCCTTTCATCCTTGGGTCTGGGGAGCCTGAGCATCCTCCGGGTTGAAGGACTAGGTATGGATAATATCCCAGGAGGATATTAACTTGGGCCGTGATTCCTGGAGCAAATTTGGTGGCAGGGACAAGGGAGGGTGTGGCAGAAGGAGCTGTGTTTCGGGAGCCGAGCTTCCTGTTTAAACATTCCCTGCTGGAAATATGTGTGAGCGAGCACAAGGCGGCACGAAGCGGCATCAACGCGGGATGCGCCTGCGTTCCCAGAAAAACAAGTACGGGTCTTAGGAAAAAAAAAAATGCCAGGGATACTGTTTCTCCTCTTGCTGGATAGCAGCTAGGAAAACCAAACCAAGCCAAAACGAAACCCAAACCATCCTGCAATGATGCATCTGCCAAGACGTTCCCATCGGCTTGAAGCGGCGGCCCGGCCGTGCCCCTGCTCCTCACCACGGGCTCGTTCTCCTCCCTCCCCCCAGATCACCCTCTACGAAGGCAAATGCTTCACGGGCAGGAAGCTGGAGGTCTGTGGCAGCTGTGGCAGCTTCCAGGACCGAGGGTTCCTCAACCGGGTCAACTCCATCTGCGTCCAGAGCGGGGCTTGGGTCTGCTTTGATCACCCCAACTTCCGAGGGCAGCAGTACATCCTGGAGCACGGCGAGTACCCAGATTTCTGTCGCTGGAATGGCCACAGTGACCACCTGGGCTCCTGCCGGCCCATCGGGATGGTGAGTGGGTGTGGTGCTCTCCCAGGCAGGTGGGATGGAGCTGCCCTTGGGCTTTGTTTCTGCTGGTAATGGGAGCCCCATGAGTAAGCGTAATTAAAGATCTACACTCTTTAGAAATAGGACATCCCATTGAGAAAGGAAATAATCCCACAGGGAAGGTTTGTCCCCCTTTGGAGTGGTCTGTGCAGGGAACAAAGCCAAGTCTCAGTTTCCTGTGCCTCCTGGCTGGGAGAAGACACATCCCCTTCCTCCCACGGCACAGAACACAGCAGCTCTAACAGGATGGGATTATCCCGGGTCTTTTCAGTTTTTCAGACGAGGTAGCAAGTTCCTGCCGGTATCACATACTTCCCCTTTTTAATGTGAGTGGCTATGATATCCTCATGGGGGATCAAGAAGAAGAGCTGTTGCCCAAGGCAGCTTTGAGTCCCGGTAGCACAGTCTCCCCACACCCCCAGAAGGTGAGCAGGCAGCTTGAGAGCTTTTCAAACCAGACCCATGGAGCAGCTGGGCTGAATCCTCTGCTGCTGCAAAAGGTCCCCTGCAATCCTGAGCTAAAACTGTGCTTTTCCCCCTACTAGGCAGCCCTCCCCTTATCAAGCTTTTGAAAAGGCTTAATCGGGAAGATGAAAAAGTACCAAAGAAAAACGAATCTGTCTTAGGTCTTCCCATGCAACACTCCTGACCCCCGGGGAAATTATGAACTCATTTGGAGCTGCTGGGGCTTCTCACAGGCCCCAAAGCTGCTTTTTGGCACGGCAGTGGGTTCGTTCAGCTCCAGAACGTCCTTCCCAAAGCACCTCCCCAGTCCGTACGTGGAGGGATGCTCTGCTCCAGGCCCTGGAATCCGGCCGGCACGAGGACACGCTCCTCCTTCCCTGGCCCACGATTTTCCCTGCGAGATGCCAGCAAGTGCTTTGAGGCATTTCTGCAGCACAGATTCCCGAAGGAATGTTTGCTCAGGCACGAGATCCTCTCTGCTGCCGCCGGCGTCCGCCTGCTGCGGGGTTTGGCTTCGCAGCCCGCGCTTCCTCTGCGCTGACGTTGTTTGTTTGAAAAATGCATGTAGGTATTCTTTGAATTTGGATTAAAAATATCCCTTCAGCTTGCTCTGTCCTACATGTCTGTACCACAGACTGCAGAAATCTCCCCAGAGGCATTAATGTCATGTCACCCTTGAGGGCTCAGTGAGCAATGATGATGCTGGGAAAGTTTCCTTTTTGTCTCTCTTTTTAAATTTTCCTTAAGGAAAGGCACAACATCTCCCACCAGCAGAGTCCAAAATCTTTATATATCTTGGGGGTTTTTTTTGTTGTTGTTTTGTTGTGTTTTTTTTCCCTGTGTGAGTGCACAGAGAGCCTGCAGCTGGTGCTGGATTTGGGCTTGGTGGGTTTGTGGGCTGGTGGAGGGGATCAGCAGTTGGACAAGGGATGCTGCGTGCCTGGGCGCAGCACAGCCCACCAGCCACGGGGCTGCACGCCATGGCAGCTGCAGGAAGATTCAGCCAGGTGCAGAGATGAGGTTTTCCTGGCCGCTTTTCTGGTTGGCACAGCGTGCTGGGTGGTGGCACAAGTTTCTGGTGGTGTTGGACTGCTTTTCACATTCCCTTTCCAAAGCACCCCTCCCGTCTTCCTCTTTGTCTTAAAAAGCCAGGAACACAATTTGCTGCATTTTGTTGTTGTTGTTAACTTGAATCCCTCTGCCCCCAGCATGGCGAGCATTACAGGATTGAAATATTTGAGGGGAGCCAGTTTAGTGGTCCCAGCCTGGAGCTGACAGAAGATTGCTCCTTCCTGCAGGGGCAAGGCTGGGACAAGACCTGCATCAACGCCCTCAAAGTGTACGGCGATGGCGCGTAAGTAACAGCGCATGTCCTGGTGTTCCCAGCTCCACAGGGGAGCAGGGTGTTAGCAGAGACTCCCCCCTGCATGGAAAAGCCTGTTGATGCCAGGGGGTACTCAGAGAAAGCCTAAAAATGTCAGTGAAGCCTTTGGTTTAAAGGTGAATTTTGGTGCCTGCCCATTGAGAGCTGCTTGAAAGCAGCGTGAAATCTGGAGGGTGGCAGCTGAGCACAAGCTGTGAGAGCTTCAAGACACCTTTTTAAGGTGTATGAAACAAGAAGACTAAAACCAGCTTTTTTCTTCTTTTTTTTTTTTTTTTTTTTTTGTCTTAAACATTTTGTGCATCTTTCCAGACACCTCTTTAAAATCCAAGCAGAGGCTTTTGGGGAAGGCAGGTCAGGGTTTTTGCTTTGCAAGTGGCTTCACCAAGGTTTGCTGCAACAGCAGAAACCTCCTCCTTGGACAGCAGAAATGAGGCAGCAGCATCTCAGCTTAAAATTAAATCCTGCCTCAGAAAAACAGAGCCAACTGTGACAGTGATGCACAGCCATCAAATGGGGGTTGTTGGTCACCCTCAGTGCCCTGTGGACCTACTTTGTAGATGTGTTACTGATGCTCAGCCTCGTCTTCCTGCCCCTGCAGATGTTTCCAAAAGCCTCAGCAGGATGGTGGCTTTGCCTTTTTCTTGTTGTTGGGTGGCAATCTGAATTGTGTTGATGGTGTTGGTTTTTGTTTGTTTTTTTTCCTCCAGTTGTGAGGAGGGTTCTTATCTGGCTGTTACCCATCTCCTCTGTCCAGCAACTGCCTTTTCACTGCAAGTGTGCTGGGAGCAGGGAAATTCCATAAAATCCTGGAGCCAGGCAGAGAGTGGCTAGTGTGAGACATCAGGCAGAGGGAATCCCCTGCAGAGGAGGGAGCACAGAAAAACTCTTCACCATGTGTCGTGGACTGGATATTGTGCATCTCACTTCAGCCCAGTGTGGGATGTTTGACCCCATCTATCCACAACCATTTCTCCCAGAATAGGAAAAAGGTTGTTGCTGTCCAAGCTTGTGACATCCTGACAGCAAGTGTCCTGCAGAACCTTTTCTGATTCAACTGAGACGTCTCCTCTTCCAAAAAAACAGGCTTATGATCAGGCAGTGGTGGTTCATTGAAGCTAAGGAGCAGAACTACCAGCTCCCGATGGGAAGAAGTGCCTGGAGCTCATGGGGGACCCTGTTCATCATGAGCATTTGAAGCAAAAGGCATTTGAGTACCAACATTATAAAGCCAAGAGAGAGCCTGCAAGTTCTCTGGCAAGAGCTTTAGGGCCAATTATTTTCCACACGTGTTCCTGTAGCAGAGCCTGCAGCTTGAGAAATTGGGAAGCTGCCCAGAAACTTTCAAGCACTTAAATTTTTCAGATTGATTTTTTTCCTCCTCCTCCTCTGCAAAACATACAAGGGACACAAAGCTTGCTTTCCCTCACACGGGAGCCTGGACTGTTTATATTAACATTACATGACTTCTCAAAGGCTTTGGGTAGCAATAAAAACAGGAAAAAAAAAAATAATAATACTGTAAGGAGCATGGTGAGGAAATTTGCTGAGTTTTGTAGAGTTATATCTGGACCCAGTGAAGGTGGTGGCTGAAAGCGTGGGCAGGGGCTGCCAAGGGCATTGAGAGGCAGGACAGTGCAGAGCGACCTGCTGGCCCTGAGCTGCAGGAGAGGTGAGACCAGGGAGGTGACAGGGACCCCACAGCACTGCTTTTCTCTGTTGGATGGACCATATAAGCCCAGGTGACCCCCAGGTGCTGCAACTGTATCTGGTGTTGGACTCAGCCTGGCAAAGTCCCCCCAGGACCCATCCTTGACTGTTTGAGGAGCAGAGGAGGGATCCCTGGAGACCAGGGGAGTTTCAGCTACAGGCTGTCTCCATCACATCCTCAGGCTGAAACTGGGTCTGGCTTACCCTGTGCATGCTGAAAGCAGATGTAAATCAGGGTCCCACCGAGTTCCCTGCCTGCTCCCGGAAGCACTGAACTTTTCCACAGAAATTTTCCCCCTTAATTCCCAGAACATGATGTCTGTCTGGTTTCTTGGTGGGGCTGAGTGTGTCCAGCACCTTCCCAAGCTGCCCTTTTGGGGCCGGTGACCGCTACCCCACACAGCCAGAAGGGCTGGTGGTTAAGCTGTGAGAGGCATGGTGGAAGTGAGTTTGCTATATCAGAGCAGTTCCGAGGTGTCACTGCCTCCTTGGAAGCTGTTGAGGTTCGTGTGGCAAGTGGCTTTTCCCATCCCACGGGCAGAGCCAGCTCCAGTATCACATATGGTGTCATCTTCTTTTAGATGGAGACGTGTGCTTCTTATCCTCCTTTTGTGCCTCAGCCACTCCACAGAGGATTGCTTAGAAACAACGACTTTAAAAAGCTGAATTTGTTTTACAGTCCAGGAGAGAACACCCCAAAAAAAAGGGCTTTTCTAAAGCTACAGTGACATAACTTGGAGGAATCAGACCAACCATTTATTTGCCCAGACCGATGCTGCAGCCTTCCCCTGCTGGTCCTTCCAGCCAGGGTTGGCTCACAGGCTTGTGCTGGTTCCACATGCTTTATTCCCATCTCCTCTGAGTTTCTGTGCTAATGAAACACAGCACCGAGATGTCTGAGGGCTGTGTGCTATGTGCCTGCATCAGCTCCCCCATGCTGGGCTTGAGGACAGGATTGGGTTTTGTTGAGTTTTTTTCTGGGCTCCTGACTGACTTGATTTCCTCTCTCACTGATGGTCCCAGAGAATGTAAGTTTTAGGCCATAAAAGAACAGCTAAGTAAGCCATACAAATCTTCACTCATCACCTTCCCCTGCCAATACACTTCACTCCCGTATCTCTGCTGTTCCTTTTGCTCCTCTTTTCTGTAGCCTCTCCCTGAGCAGAGGGAAAAGCTGGTGGGTTCTTATCACCACACCAGGTCATGCAGGCTGCTTCCACCTACCCTGAGACTTGTCCCTGTCCCACTCCCTCCGTGAGACTGTGCAGACACATCAGCTGTGTGTCTGGAGAGAAACACAAGGGACTTGGGAAAGACAGTGACTATGAGGAGCTGCTCTACCTCCTGTTCTGTTCCCCAGGGTCCACCAGTTGCTGAAAGATGCCCTAGAGAAGGGCAGAGCTGGAAGAACCACCTGGTCATGGTGGGCCAACAACACCCTGTTAATATCCCTGTCCTACCACCATGCAGTATTTTCAGTAGCATCAGGTGTTCTCAGCAGCATGGAGTGATTGGAAGGTGCAGAAAAGTAGGATGGGGAGCTCTTCTGAGGAGTGCTTGAGGGAGGGGTGGTGAGCTGATGGAGAAAGAGGCCCTTGGTTGTCCAAAAATATGGAGAGGTGCCTATAAGCTGATGGGATGGAGTAGAAAAGGAAGCAAACCATGTGTGCCTCATGAACAAGGGTGGGGTGTATCTAGAGGAGAAGGATAATTTTACACGTTGTTCTTAATTAAGCTTAAGAGCTGAGCATGCTCTGTGGCAGGGCACATCAAGATAGGTGAGAGGGGGGCCACAGCTGCAGGGCAACCTGCCATTGTACTCACAGGAGCAGCAGGCAGCCCTCCCTGCCCTCTGCAAAGTGAGCTGCAAAGGAACAGGCTGAGGATGATTTGGTGATTCTACTTTGGATATAAACTGGCTGCAAAAAGTGCCAAGGAATGAACTTGCCTGTTCTCAGGAAAGTCTCAGGATCCAAAATGTCTTGGCTGAGCACGTGGCAGAGGTGCTGCAGGGAAGGGCTGTGCAAGCACAGCTGGGCAGCTGGGTGGAGAGGGGCACCAGGCAGGCACGTACTCACTGTGCTGGTCATATCAATGCATAGGCAGATGGGAAAGGAGTCCCACCACAATCCCACCTGGTGTCCTCTCAGAAACACAAAATAAATCCAAATATGTCAAGGAATCTGTAAGGTGGCTCAAGTAAATACCCTGGTCTTTTTCCTTTTCCTTTTCCTTTTCCTTTTCAATTTTCTTTTTTCTTTTTCCTTTTTAATTTTCCTTTAATTTTCGGTGAATATCCGAAAAAAAATTTTTACTGTAAGAGTGACAGAGCCCTGGAACAGACTGCCCAGGGAGGTTGTGGAGTCTCCCTCACTGGAGACATTCAAAACCCACCTGGATGTGTTCCTGTGTGATGTACTCTAGGTGACCCTGCTCTGGCAGGGGGGTTGGACTAGATGATCTCTCGAGGTCCCTTCCAGCCCCTAAGATTCTATGATTCTATGATTCTTTTCCCTTTTTTTTTTCCCTTTTTCTTTTCCTTCTTTTTCTTCCTCTTTTTCGTCTTCTTCTTCTTTTTATTCTTCTTTTTCTTCTTCTTCTTTTCTTTTTTCTCTTCTTTTTCTTTTTCCTTTTCTTTTTTTTGGTGTCAAATAATGCCTGTGGGTGGCTGGTTTCATAAACCACTTTTTCCCTCAGACTCTCATCTCTTCACTCTGGCTCAGACTGATCTGAGTTCACCAGCCCTGTAGGCCCAGCAGACTTTGACTCGTCCAGTACTTAGAGGAGTTTCTCCCTGGAAAGCTTATATACAGCAGATCCCAACCCAGATGTCAAAGCTGAATTCTGGCAGGAGACCAAGTGATTTGGAACGTGGCATTTGTGCTTTGTTGTCACTGTGAAGCCAATAGGTGGGACAAACAGCAGAGATCCTTATAAAATCCTTTTAACAAAGTTGGGAAGAGAAGAATGAGGCAGAAATGAGCAGTCCAGCAATGATGGGGTGGAGACCTGACTGTAAAACTATCAAATCAATGGCAAAACTTGCTTAAAAAGCATGGGAGAGTTAAATGGAGGACAGAGGTGACACTTGTGGCCACATAGAACAGTGTATACAAAAGGGATGAAGAGCAGCAAAATTTATCCCCCTTGACCATCAGAATTGCTTCTGACTTGAAAACCTTCAAATGGAGAAAGACATGCTAAAGAAATGTAGCCAAACTGGGTGAAGAAGTGAGACATGCCAAAGCCACCAAGGTTGAGTGTTGTATCTATTTGACTGTATTCCAAAGGAAAGTTATAGTTAACTCTGGATGTAGAAATAAAGTGAAGATGAGGGAGCCAAGTCCTGCCCTCTGTTGAAAAGCATCAAAGAGAGGCCATTGAGAATTACTAGCAAAGAGAGGAATTAGTAAATATGGTTCCCATCATAGCTAATGAGTCAGTTCAAAGAGGTAAAACACCCTTTAAGCATTGCACGTTTCTCCTTACAGTCCAAAATAGATTAATCCAGGGGCTCAGGGGACTCACGTCCTTCTTTAACACTCTCAACTGCTATTAAACTATTTCTGTTGCACATGGTGAAGCTCAGAGAGATCCATTCCTGCAGCAGCATGAAGCAGGGAGTCTCCAGCCCCAAGCTTCATGTCTGATGTAACCCAAAACAACTTCTCCAAAAGGCAAAGTCCAGTCTGGCTGTGCACACTTGGTGCAGTTAACTCCGTGTGCAGGACAGGACTGGGGAAGGGACTGTTAAGCCCCGTAGAGTTTGCAGCACTCAAGTTCCCTCAGCACAGCCACTCGCTGCGTGCATGAGGTCACCTCACGCCACTGCAGCCCTCCCTTTCTGCCCAGGTGGGTGCTGTACGAGGAGCCCAACTACCGAGGCCGCATGTACCTGGTGGAGCGCGGGGAGTTCAGCAACTTTGGCGCTTGGCAGGCGCGCGGCGCCAGCGTCCAGTCCATCAGGAGGGTCATCAACTACTTCTAGCTGAACGTCCATCCTGCCAGCCTTGGCTGCTGAGACTGGGTGTCACCTTCCTCCCCGCTCACTGACCTGTGGAATAAACTGTTAAAACGCCAGCTATTGGCTCTAAGTACTTCATTTCTTGCCCGGATTGAAGAGGGAGCGGATTTGCAACCTTTCTAAGCTTGGTTTGTGTGCTGTGAATTTGCAGTTTCATTCTAGGAGGACGTGGAGGTGATGGGCCAGAACCAGTGGTGATGAGCAGACCCAGAAAGGAGCTCCCCGGTGAGGTTGTGGTCTGACACGTGTTCACTCTGCCCTGCCCACCAGCCAGTGGACCCATCTGACTCCTGATGCCTGGAGGGGGTCACGTTGCTGGGTACGTGTGTTGTAGCACGGGCACACAGCTGTCAGGGGGTCTGCTCATGGCATGTGAGGAGACACAGCAGGATCATGGTGGGATCTGACAGACTCGTGGGGTCTGTCTGAGTGCAACGTGCTGGTCCTGATGCGACGGTGATAGGAATCATTCATCCTGAGTTACTTTGATCTTAGATCAGCACACATTAAAAATATATTTTAAAAAAATTCCCTGAGGGCACAAAACCTGAGCAATCTTCTCTTTGCTCCCTGTCTCATAAGCTCTTCAGCAGACAATGACATTTTGAGGGGGCAGCAGAGAAGGAAACAGCCACTGCTCTGTTACTTTCTGCACAGCCCTCTTCCCACCCTTCTGCCCCTTCAGCACTCCCAGCCCATCCCAGTTGTTTTGGTGCCCCTGAACCCCACTTCATGCTTGGCAGCTGGGATGGGAATGGCTCCATCCATTCAGCTCCATCCACTACAGCCTGGGCACTTCTTGCCTTCAGTGCCCAAAGTTCAGGTAGCCTCCTTTCTATAAAATCATATGCCACATTCAGTGTGGCTAAAAATGTTTCCTTCAGAAAGGGGTAATTTTAATCTTTTCATTCCATTATTCTAGTGTCTGCTGAGGCTTGGCTGTCTGATGGGTGCTGACAGGCAGGGCCACGGTGCTGAAGGAGCTGCAAAGCTCTGTGTTAATCTAGTGGGAAGGCTGATGCTCTAACCACCGTCCCCAGCCCTTCCAAGAGACATGAGTGAGGCTGACAGGTCCCCAACATGCTGGAGCACGAGGTGCCTGTGCCTTCAGGGCTGCTCTGCTTTGTGGCTCTGCAGTGGGATCCTGCCCTTCACAGAGGGATGGGGAGGAGGGGGATCTGTGCTCTGTGCTGGGGCAGGGGGCTGGTTGGTCCCGTACTGCATCCTGCTCTGAGACTGGATATGGCTGCCATTCCATCATTTCACACTCATCTGCCTTGATGTTCATCTTTCCAGTTAGAGCTTCTTGGCTCCCTGTGGGTCTCTACCAGTAACAGGACTGGGGCAACTGGTAACAACTGGGCCTGTGTGAAAAGGACACGTGCCATTTCTGCCACAAAGCGGTACTTTGGGAGAGTTCCAACTGAGATTTGCCCCAGATGCACATATGCCATATATATGTTATGGGGGTATGGAAATACAAACCCCCTCTCCTTTATGAATTTAGCAATAGCTTGGGTGACATTTGCCTTAGCAGTGACACAAGCAATTGTCTCCTCTTGCAGCCAGCCTGCAACCTGGGTGTCATCCTCTGCTCAACTCCTAGCAGAAGCACTACAGTTACACCAGAGCAGCTCTGGTCTGCAGTGGCTGTGTCCTGGGTGGCTTGGGGTGACATGGGGTCCATTTGAGCAGTAAAAATATTTAAGTATCTTTAATGGATTGCAAGGTATTTCTGTGTCAGAGAAGAAGGCAAGGAAATGATTCATTCATTGAGTGGGATGCACAAATGTACAACTTGTGCATCAACTCTTGCGTATTTCATTTTCTTTTAATTAAATGCAGCTTACAAAAGATTTTAGGAGTTCTTCCAGGATTAGAGTTGCTCTTGCTTCATGAAGGCTTTAATCAGCTCCTGATTCCAATGCACACTATTAAAAGTTAATATTCAGTCGTATGCCCTGCTCTCTGTTATGACCTTCTGTTAAAAAGCCCAAATGTGGTCCCAAAGAAAAGCCAGACTTTGAATTGTGACTGGCTTTAAAGGAGGCTTTTCATTCATTTGAAACATGTTCAATGTCACACTGCAGCATGAGGGATAAAGAAACAAAGGCCTTAAAATGCACACACACTAGATTCCCAGATGCTTTAAGTAGTTGGAGGACAAAAGAAAATAAAAGAAAAAAAAAAAAGAGCAACCACCCACCCACCCACATTCCCCTGAGAAAAACAGAGTAAGCCCAGAAATCCCCACACCTGGGTTCCTCGACATGGTGCACACAGCCTGGGGAGGTGGCTGTCCCACTAGTGCTGGGGTTAGCCCTGCAATATTGCAGATGTTCTGCTGCATGGCTGCAGTGGTTCAGGACCAGCCCTTAGGGGGATGCACCCACATCCCTCCTCGTCCTTACTGGGGTAGGTGGGGCTGTGCAGGCACACACAGACGGACGGGCTGACTCCACCGTGCAGCTTCTGTCTGCAAGCCAACTTCATCTGTGTGCTTCAAACTCAGTGTTTGTGTGTTCTACTAGATGAATATTTGTAATTTCAATTGTGGACGTACTGAGGAGCCCCAGTCCTGGGCTGAACCCTGCTGCCTGCTGGAGTTGCAGGAGTTAAAAGGACAAGGAGTTAAAAGCACAAAACAGGGAATCTGGTTGATCTGAGCTGTTGTGTGGAAGCCTGTTTGTAACCAGCTATCTTTAGCCACCTCTGGCACATTTGACACATCTGTAATATGCCTACAGACTGATTTCTCATCATTTATTACCATCTGATAATCCCATTGATGAACACACTCTCAATGCAGTGTCATGTGAACACTATTGAAAAAAAATCCTTGTCTATGCAGAAGCCTAAGATCTCTAAAAACTGGCAGCAGGGAATTGAATTCCATCTATTTTTTCTTAATTTGAAACCTAAGTAGGGTGGCCATGGGCCTAATCCAAACACTGATGCTGCAGGAACATGCCTTGCGTTGGCAGCAGGGGGATGTGGCTCTTCTCTTCCTTTTTCCTCCCCCTCCTTGCTAAATCTGCACTTGTTTAAAGGACGAAACATACAGATCCCATATGTTTGCTAGTGCTTAGGGGCTGTGTGTTGTTTGGGGTGTGTTTTTTTTTTAAAGATTATTGACATTGCTCTAGTACGACGTGGTATGATTTGTGAGTTTAAAGCACATAGAATCGAAATGACAAAAAAAGTGCCAGTTTGCTGTGAGGTGGGTGTGAGCTGGTGCAGCAGAGATCTGAGCTGCACATCATTAAGCTGTAGGGCTGAATGAGCTCTGCTGCCTGCACCAAGGAGGCAAGCAATGGATTGGGTAAGTGGGAAACCATTCTGCAGAATGCTAGAGATAAAACAGAGGTTCAAAAATGAACAAAAGGAACAAGTTCTTAATTACAAGAGAGAGAACTAAATGAAAACAGCTCCATCTGGAAAACCAGGAAAGCCCTAATAATCAGCATTACTGGGCTTGGCCAAGCTGCTGCAGTGTAATATTCAGAATAACTTTGAGTTACATCTGGCCCCAAAGCAAACAGTTCCTGCCAGAATGCCTGCATACACTAATGTCCTTTCTCTGTAGCTGCATAATGTGGGAATTTGATGGAATTATCTCTTGCAAATGAATCACTGGAAGATATCTGAGCAACCGCAGTACTTTTGTGTTGTTATGTTACCCATTGCATAGACAGAGAGTGAAGGTGAGGAGGAAATGGCCTAGTGATCCACGGTTGGAAAGTCTGATGTAGTTATAGCTGAAATGAATCTCCACTCACTGCTTACACAGGCCAAAGGGCTGCACAGCCACCTCCCTTCCCTGAGGAATTCAAGAGGCGTTCTCCTGCTATTGGGGCTGCCCAGCACTCTCATCAGAATCACAGAACGGGTTGGGTTGGAAGGGACCTTAAAGATTGTCCAGTTCCAAGCCCCCTGCTTGGGCAGGGACACCTCCCACTAGACCAGGTTGCTCCAAACCACAACTAAGCTGGCCTTGAACACTTCCAGGGAGGGGGCATCCACAACCTTCCTGGGCAACATGAGCCAGTGTCTCACCAGCCTCATATTGAAGACTTTCTTCCTAATATCTAACCTTAATCTAGCTTCTTCCAGTTAAAAGCCATAACCCTTCCTCTGGTCACTACATGTCCTTATAAATAGTCCTTCCACACTTTTCCTGTAGGTCCCCTTTAGCTACTGCAAGGTGCTCTAAGGTCTCCCCAGCACCTTCTCTTCTCCAGGCTGAACAACCCCAACTCTCTCAGCCTGTCTCCATAGCAGAGCTGCTCCAGCCCTCTGATCATTTTCATGGCCCTTCTCTGGACTCACTCCAACAGCTCCATGTCCTTCTTTTGCTGGGCGCTCCAGAACTGGACACAGTACTCTAGATGGGGTCTCAGAAGAGTGGAGTGGAGGGGGAGAATCACCTTCCTTGAGCTACTGGCCTTGCTTCTTTTGATGCAGTCCAGGACACAGTTGGCTTTCTGGGCTGTGAGTGCACATGGCTGGCTCATGTTGAGCTCATCAATCAACACCCCCAGGTCCTTTTTCTCAGAGCTGCTCTCAATCCAGCCTCCAACCAACCTGTAACTGTGCCTGGGATTCCTGTGACCCATGTGTAGGATCTGTTGGCATGGACCCACCTCTCCAGCCTGTCAAGGTCCCTCTGGATGGCCTCCCTTCCCTCCAGTGTGTCAACCACACCACACAGCTTGGGGTTACCAGCAATCCTGCTGAGGGTGCACTCAGTGCAACTGCCTGTGTCACCAACAAAGATGTTAAACAGCTCTGTCCCAGTACTGACCCCTGAGGAAAACCACTTGTCACTGATCTTCATTTGGACATTGAGCCACTGACCAACACTCTTTGAGTGTGACCATACAGCCAATTCCTTGTCCATCCAGTATTTAATCCATCTTCTTGTGCTTTCTTCTCTTTCCTCCAGAGACACCAACAGGTCTGGC